CCACCCATCCATCTACCCATCTACCCATCCATCCATCCATCTACCCATCCACCCACCCATCCACCCATCCATCCACCTATCCGACATGTGCCTTTTATGCACCAGCTATTTCCCAAGGGACTATGAGAGTTGCTAGAGGTGTAAAGATATGTACGATAGTCTCGGGGTCCCTAGTCTCTTCTTCTAATGGAAAGCGGTGAGTGTTGGAGGTAGAGGTATGAGCTTAAAAACAACATATGGGGCTGAATGGGCCTGGGGAGGAAAACTCACTCTACTGAGCATTAAAGGGCTTCATAAAAAGGAGACACTTGAATAAGGATATAAATCTACGGGATGCTTATTTGTCTTAAATACATAGGCAGTAATGCAGGGCAGGCAACAAGGGGATCCCATAAGTGGGAAGCAGCTAAGAAAAGCGAAATGATATGAAGAACTGAAGTCAGTCAGAGAACATGTTAAGGGAGTATACAAAAAGCACAGTGCAGTGCCTGAGGTACAGAAATGTGGGGAAGGCAGGGCCTGGGCAGAAAAAAGAAGTCAAGGGGTAGATGAAGTAGAAGGACCTGGATCTTTACAAAACAGAACAACAACAAACTTTTTAAAAATTAAAATTAAAAGACAGGTAAAGACAAGAGTTTGAGGAGGTGGACCCCAAACAGCCCTACCTTATGTAAAGTGTGAGAGGATGCAGAGAGCAAGGGCATCCAAGGAGATGCGTGTGGTCTCTGATGTCTTAGGTGGCTTGTTTGACAAGGAACCCAAAGGGAGGTAAGGCATGAAGTTTCAAGCTTACTTTCAGCAAAGCTAAGATATAACTGAATCTTCCAGCAGGAGGTGGTCAGTGGTCGGACCTGGGTGTCATTGGAATATACTTGGTAAGGTCATAATGCATGACACCCACCACAGAAAGCATAAAGATCCTCTCAAAAGGACAAAGGAGGGCAGAGGGGTACAGCTCAGGCACAGGGGGAGGAAGACACCTGCAACCCCAGCATTACAGAGGTAAAAGGCAGGGGGTCAGAAGCTCAAGGTCATCCTTGAACAGAACAACTGCATGGGACTCAGTCTTGAAAACAAAACAAAAAGACAAAAGAAAAAAAATAGGGCCCTAGAAACACCAGTGCAAAGGATACAGGAGAAAGAGATGCATGAGAAGAGACACAGAAGTCAGAGGAACATGAGGAAAATAAAGCTCCACAATGTGCGAGCACATTGCCTGGGTAACAGCGTCCAGTTAACGTTCTACTGCCCTCACCTCGTAAGCAGTGAGCTCCGTTCTCTCCAGGCCCACAGCGAGCACAGGGAACATGACACACCGGTCACACACCTTCTCACTCACGATGGGGCTTTCTACAGTAACCCTCTCACAGACACAAGACCAAGTCTGCAGTCCCATGAAAAGCTCAGAGACGCCAGGGCGAAGAGCACTGGAGCCTGAGGGGCCAGATGGATGCGAGCGAAAATAGCATGGGAGGTGTGGGAGTGGGCGCCGAGCTAATTCTGAGTCATTCATTGAATATATTCACAAAACTTTGGAACTTGCGGGAAACTCTCCCAGCTACTGTTGGTCTCACATGTTCATTCGCTTCCTGAGACCACGTCTCAGGTAAGGAAGAGAAAGGTGTGCCGCGTACCTACCGACAGAACGTGGATATACTTCCTGTCAGAACCCTGTCTGCTCCAAAGAGTCTTCTAACGCCTTGACCTCAACTGCAGGGAGCTTGCAGGTGCTTCTGGGCCCTCTGTGAGTGCAGGCCTGGGCAGGCTGGCTCATGGAGACCAAGTGCATTGAACCACGCTCTGGGACCCAGAGAGGGCTGCTCTAGATATCCCTGTGATCCCCCAAAGTAGGAAACCTCAGCGCTGTCCCACCATCCAGATGTCACAAGGCACAGTGTATCTGAGCACACAGAATGCCAACCATGAGGTAGCATTGTCCTGGAGATTGTCAAGACTCTCAGAGAGCCAAGCTGGATGGGTTAATGGCTGCCAACCCGATTTCAGGAGTCTAAAGCTTCACTAGAACCTTTGTGACAGCTACTATAGGTTGTCAGTTTGACAGACAAGGAGCCAAACCTGTGGGCATGTCTCAGGGGAGTTTCTAGATTAGGCTGACTGGAGTTGGAAGACCCACCTTTCCTGCTGGTGCCACCATTCAATAGGAGGGATGGAACAAGAAGAAAAAGCATCTGAGTTCCAGCACTGCTCTCTGTCTCTCTATCCATCTGTGTGTGTGTGTGTGTGTGTGTGTGTGTGTGTGTATCTGCTTCCAGACAGCAGAAGCAAGTAAACAGATACCTCAAGCCCTCGCTGGCTGCTGACTCCCCACCATGATGAAAAGTAGCTTCAGAACTTCCCTAGGTTCCATTTATTTATTTATTTATTCATTCATTCACTTACAAATTACTTTATTATGTGTACAAGATATATTCAAATATGTATCACACTTTAAAACATTTCTGCTCTTTCACATGTTTTTAGGCCAAAAACTAAGTCAGGTATCCACAGTCAAAGGACAAAAGGTTGTATCCCACTTAATTGTCACGTATCTATCAAATAGAAATGACTAATTGGGCAGGGGACCAAATTATGGCCTCACCTATGCTAATGATTCAGTTTCTATGTCTCACAAATATGCTTGACTTTCTTTTTTTTTTTTCTTTTCATTATTATTGATTACAATCTATTCGCTTTGTGTCCTGGCTGTGGCCCCTCCCCCCATCTCCTCCTGGTCCCTTTCATAAGGAGTCTGGTCATAGCGGCAAACAGAGTAGTAGCCTACGCAGTCTGCATGGAGCAAGCCCCTTGTGTTGTTCCGGGAGAAAGCGCCCTCTGGAAGAATAGAAAACCAGCAATAAAAAGCGTGTAGGCTGGTCAAATCCGAATGCTTATGAACACGGCTACTTCTGTGCGCTGGGTGCGGAGTGCCTCCTCACGGCCCCACCCACATGCCGCCCACATCCTAAGCAAGGGCAGAAGTAAAGACACACAGCTCAGCCACCTCCATACAAGATTCTGGGCTTTACCTGACCAAGCCTCATCAGGACATGCACAGTGATGTGTCTGACGGGTCCTTCACTGCTTCTGCAGGATCACACTAGGCATGCGCCTCCGCCCACCCAGTCCCGATCAGGGCCCATGCAGGC